ATAGAGTTAAAATCAAGAATGATGGGCACACAATCCGATAGTGCCTCGATATGCTCTAGGGCATGCACGTTGACTAAAGGAAGTTTATCTTCCACTCGTTATCCATGAGTACCCTATAGTGCTTCTCATATGTTGGCACATAACGGTTATTGGCCCAAATGAATTGTCGCCTGACATACTAGCTTCCCGAAGATTCAAACTGGCAATCACATCGTTGAATATGAAAGGGCAGTGTGTGTCAAAGTGGTCATTATTGTTCTCTTCCTTGTTCCGAAGTATATTAAAGTCCACTCCAATAATCATTGGATGTGGGTTATCCTTAGCCATGTTCACCAATTCCCAAAGGAAAGAAGATTTATGCTCATCTTGGGCAGCCCCAGACTGCAACCCGGCTCCATGTAAAATTACCAGCTCTGTTTCGGAGGTTGAATTTAATGTGAAATTCACGATTCAAAAAACTAACAAGTCCATGGTTGTGATTAGTAGCCCTAGTAGGATTCCTCTGGACTTTCCACGTGCGGGTAGACTGTGCCATATGTAGTCGAAACCATCTGAAAGGTGATCGAGGACATGTGCAAGAAAGTCACATTTACCAGCCTTGAAAATGGCCACAAAATCTACTCGATGTTCTCTCACACAATTATCGACGTGTTTACATTTAGCCAAGTCTGAAATACCTCAGCTATTCCAAAACGTGTCTTTCATGTGGAAACTCGGGTTGTGGTGGCTAACTTCGCCTTTTTGGGCATTTTTTGTTTCTTTTTTGAGGAATGTGATTTTGATTTTCGCAAAAATGCTATAAAGTCACAAAACGTGGACCTAGGTCATGCATCCTCTAATCCAACTTCGGTAACCGCGCCAACTAAGTGGGAGAGAAGAGGATCATCATATGTGACACCCACCCTCTCCTCAGTGTTGGGGTTAAGCGGGGTACTCATACATCTTGGAGAAACCTTTAAACTATATATCTATCTCCATATGTTTGAGCACCCAAGTCGTGGATGGGGTGTGATGTTCGATGGCGGTGGCGCGGAATCTGTACCATATGCCAGTGGCGGTAAGTGTTGGCCGGGGTGGTGAAAACCTGTTCTATCTTCGGCCAAACCGGCGGCGACGAAGTTCGTCCCCTTCTTTAAGGCATCGTCGTGGCTCTCATTGCCCGTCGTGTTGCTCCAGAGGAAACCCTGGTCCTCGGATCGGGCGGTGGAGGCGCTCCGGTGTCGTAACCTTCCTAAAGGCGCCGCCTTGAAGCCAACTGTTCGTCGTATGCAGCTTCATCTCTTCTTGGTGGCATGTTAATGGTTGAGGACCCCGGTAGCTCCTGTAGTGGTAGGGTTGGTGTTGCTGCGCTCAACTCCTATGTACCATGTCTGGGGTGTGTGCGTGTCTTGTGGTGGCGTGCATTTGTACCGGGTTGTTGATGATTGCAGGGAAACAACTTGGTAAAAGACACTTCATTCGCATTTTTTCCAATAGACACCAACATTGTTTTAAAATACTCCCTCCGTTCCTAAATATTTGTCTTTCTAGAGATTTCAACAAAGTAGATAATATAATAGCATAATAATGCATATAAAACATCCAAAATTGATAATATAATATCATGGAACAATCAAAAATTATAGATACGTTGGAGACGTATCAGTATCCATGAGTACCCTATCGAGCTTCTCATACTCGCACAAAACGGTTATTGGCTCAAGTGAATGGCCGCCCCGACATAATAGCTTCCTGAAGATTCAAACTGTTAATCAGGACGTTGAATAGGAAAGGTCGGTGGGTATCAAAGCGGTCATTACTTTTCTCTTCCTGGTACCTATATATATTAAAGTCCCGTCCAATAATCATTGGATGCGGGTTATCCTTAGCTAGGTTCACCAATTCCCGAAGAAAAGCAGATTTATGCTTATCTTGGACAGCCCCACAGACTGCAACCAGGCTCCATGAAAAATTATCAGCTCTGCTTCGGAGGTTGAATTTAATGTGAAATTTGCCAGTCGAAAAAGTTAACAAGTCCATGGTTGTGGTCTATATCCCAAGTAGAATTCCTCTGAACTTTCCATGTACTACTATGCCATGTGTAATCGAAGCCACCTGAAAGGTGATCGAGGACATATGCACGAAAGTCACATTTTATCAGCCTTGAAAGACACTATAAAGTCACAAAACATGAATTCAAGTCTTGCATCATCTAATCCAATCTCAATAACTGCACCAACCAAATGGGAGAGAAGTGGACCATCATATGTGGCATCCACCTCCTCCTCCTCGATGTTAGGGTTAGGCAGGGTACTCATACATCTTGAAGAAACCTTTACAAGATCTATCTTCATATGTTTAAGCACCCCAGCCGAAAGACTCGCTTCATTTGCATTCTTTCCCATAGATACATCAACATTTTCTAAAATAGAAGCAATACGAGTCTCTAAAAAAGAAAAGAAAATGATTTCACGGATGCAGTACCTGGGGTGTGAAGTCCAAATTACGCGTAGCCAATTATTACTTTCTTTAGAAAAGGCGGATGACCCCCCGCCTCTGCATCTGGATGATGTATACGGCCACTTTATTAATTTTATTCTCACAAGACCTTACAAAGTCATACAACAGTAAGATTAAAGTCGTCATCTAAGCAACAAACTGTCGCTACACCTATCCAGTTGATGAAGGAGCGCAGATAGCCTAGGCCTAATACCAAATAGACATCGCAGCCAAGCCTAACATCTAAGACCTGAGACCCTAACCTAGCCACTTGCCGGGTCTGGGGCACACACTGGTCCGGCGTGTTCTTAGAGGCCGCCGCCGCCAACTGCCACTGCTCCATCTTCAGAACTGTACTGATGCATCAACCTTGCTCGGTTCAGCTATCGTCGACGCCACCACGGCGCCTAATGGCACCTCCTCCCTGCGCGCAAACAGCTGAACACGTCGCGGTCGCCACTGATGCACCTCAACGTCATGCTGCCAAGTACCACCGGCCGACACGGCTTGAAGCCTTTGGAGGATCTGTCGTGCGTAGCCCCTGCCGACCAGGCATGGCCAAGCGTAGCACCTGTCGCCCAGGCATGACTTGACATCTCCACCGAAACTCCGTGCAAGACGAAGCTGCTCCACCTCCTGCCTCTGACTTCCAGCGCTGCTCCACAAAACGATGCTCCCAAGAGAGAAACGACACCGCAGTGCCGCCATCATTCGGTCTGGAACACCAGATCTTAGAGTTTCCCCCGGAGCAATACGAGTGGGTCAACGGTGGTCACATGCCGATGCCTTCATCAAGGTAACGACGTGGAACGCCGCCATCGGCTCGGTTTTCACCGGCAACTACGTCTTCCCGACTCGCAGCTGGTGCCAGATAACGGATCCCGAGATCCGAACACCCGGCCTCAGGCCGACCACCTCTGACGGAAGAGATGACCACCACCGCTGGCTGCACCGGTCAAAACAGATCTGATCGGAGGTGCCGCCGACGAGACCACCAGGCCCTCCACGCCGCCGTCGCCGATCTGAAGGCAGCATGCACGCCACCGCAGCCCGTCGCGCCGCAGATCCTAGATCGGCCGCGCCACCACACGCCTTAGGGTCCGTCCCACCCCGAAGACGCGCGAGAGAGGAGATCCACTGCCACCGCCGTCGGCCCCCGGGCTTAGCCCGGCGGCGGCTGAGGAAGAGGAGGAGGGAGTTTGCGGCGGCGGCGGCGTAGCCGATTATTAATAGCAGCACTAATTGTGTCTGTATGAATTTATCAGGAAGTAATCAAGAAGCGTACCCGCATGGATAATGTATTCACTTTGTGATTACGACGAGGTCGTCCGAAACCTCACGCCGGTGCCGATAATCCAACTACGAGGGCAATGCCGTTTTAGGATCGCTTTTAGTCTAAGAATGGTGTTGTTAGTTGGATTAGTGTTGCCAGATCGTGCAAACCACGTGTAGTTTCCGTACCTCTCCAACCAAATCAACCGAGAGTCGCCAACCCGAATGAGGATTGCGTCCGTGAGCTGAGGAAGAGCAAATTAAGGCGAGACGTGGTAATTGAGCAAGCAGAGGAAGAGTGGGTTTCCTTCCTGTTCATGCCGTGGCTGCTTTAAGCAGTGCAAAATTGGACGAAATTAAAGGGAATGCTTAACACACATGGCCAGGTCCTGGATTTTTATTTTATTTTTTTGAGATGGAGGTCCTGGATCTTTTCGTAGGACTCTTTTCCATCGAATGAAGAAACAATTTTCTCATCACAAGAGATTTGCTACTTACATGTAAACAATTCAGAAATAATGTTTTCGTCGTATAATTAACAGCGTGAATTTTCTGTTTCAACCGTAATCCAAATCATGTGCTAGCATCCTAGATCTTTCAGCTTTCGCCTCATGAACTCGAATTATCAATGTTAAGTTCTGCTCTTCATGCGAGGCAATCTCGTCCTTCAATTTATGATTGGACGGCTAAGATAGTCATGCTATTAGATAATTCAGTTCTGAGGATATCACGGCTGCAGGCAGAGAAATGGGTGATCCTCATGGCCCCTTCCTTCAGTTCAGAACAGATAGCGTTAGGTTCTTTGGGATTCAGTTTGGTTTGAGTTTGTTTCCTTGTCATTCAAGCTGAATAAAGGTAAGCAGTTTTCTTTTGGGGGATATAACAAGAAAATTTGTGCAAGCTCTATCTCCTCCTCACGGCTCCCTTTGAGCACGATTGCAACCTCAGATCAATCCCTAGACTACCTCAGTGGCCAACAAGTGGCATACATACTCAACCAAACAGGGGTAAGCCAACAAGCACTAGATTCTCTGTAGTTTTATTCTGAACCCAACAACGTAAGCAACATACAAGTGGTTTGTTTTGACAGAAAAAAAGAAAGTGCTTAAAGGGTGACACATTATACACACTAGAGAAGTGAACTGCAGACATTTTGCGTGTAACTTCCCAGATCGCAAGATTACGGTCGTCGAATTGGCCTGAACAACTTTGTCCTCAACTAGATACATGCATGATGCGTGTTCAAGTCGCTACCGCGATGAACTTGACCTTGGAGGCCAGGGTCCAAGAGATGGCAACTGCAGAACAGAGGAATCGCCTGGTATGCCTCTACTACTTGATATAACTTTGAACCACTGGCTCTCAGGGTCGCAGGTTGGATCTTCGGTCAGGCACTTGCATTCATCTGTGGTGATGACGCCGTCAGGACCGGCTTCCAAGCACACTCTGGTCCCATTCTTAGTGAGTTCGGCCGAAACATGCATTCCTGAATCAGATATTAGCTGCCACTTTGAACAGGATTTGCTGCAGCCAGCCCCAAGCTTTGCAGTATCACCCACAGACTTGGCTTCAAGGCATTGCCCGGTGTGCTTCAGCACAAGCTCATACGCGGAGGTGTAGTTCCAAGCGTTCGATTCATCGCACGGACCCAGCTTAAGCACATTCGCAGATTCCACCAACACGCAGAGCCCGGTTAGAGGATGAAATATTACCTTGTATGGTTTGTGACTGCTGGGTAGACCAGGACCTACAGTATATATGAGTATCCAAATAAATTCTTCCACTATCAAAGTGTCGGCATTATATTTTGCGTGGATTTTAGTTTTTCTTGCATACTTGGCTACTACATATATCATCATCGAAGTGCATCCCTAGCAGTTACAATTTACAATCACTTTTGAAAGTCAATAAATGCATACTGGTAAATTATCCTAAATGAATACCCATGAAAGGCTTATGTGTTGGTTCAGCAAATGAACGGTTAGGCAAATATGTGCAACAGATAGCACAAAATTTGTGTCTGACAACGTCGCTAGGTAGTAATACAGAGATAGGTAAAGTTCAAACCTTGAAATGGAGATTGCAGGGAATTGATCCTTTCAATGAAGCTGGGGTTCCTAGCTGTATACCAATCCCATGTTAGCAAACCATATGTTTCATCGTAAGCTAGAATACCCTCCCTGATATAGTAACTCCCTTCGAGAGCCCAAACAGCCCAATCCAGATCCATTTCAGCTGCTACACTTAAGAAGCATGTAAGATAACGATTGTCAGCAATATGTGTGCCAGACATGTCAAACCCAATCTCAGAGAAAAATAACGGCCATCCTTGTTGAAGAAGAAAGAGTCCTTTAGTCCTTATGGACTCAACAGCCACTCCACAAGCATCATTTTGGTTCCAATTTTCCCAATCAGTTCCATCTGAGAAACCATACCAATGCTGCTCGAAGACTAACTTTCCAGTAAATGACAACTTAACTTGCTTTGGGGACAAGAAGGAGAGACTGTTGTCAAAATCCAGGCCCGACAAAATAACAAGGACATTAGGGTTTGCTGCATGCACAGCTTCAGCACCCTGTTGCATATACCTAAAGAATGTAATATAAGTTTTCAATATCATCAGTTACATAGAAAAGCCTTCTCAATAGCATGACTCATGAGGGCCTTTGCTCAGTAACATACCTGTACCACAAACTAACATTTTGGTAGGGGCCACGAAGCTCATTACGCAAGCTCATGCCGACAACATTCTTTGTGTCCCTAAACATTGTTGCCATTGCACTGAGGCCCTTCAACCATTCTTCAGGGTCGAAGTATTTGTCTCCAAAGAAGCCATTACCGTCAGTTCTGCTACAGCACCATCCTGGAGTAGTCATTTGGTTATCAAGTATGACCATAATGCTGTTGCTGGCCAAAGCTGATACCACTTCCTATTAAGTTTGACCCATATCAGAAGGATGATCATAATCATAATTCATTTACCCCTTGATAGACAAAAATAAAAATACTGTTTTCACTTCATGTTTAGCCTGGTAGTAGGTGTGTCACAAGAAAAACATATAGGTTGGGTAACTACATTATTTGACTATTTGTTCTATATTACCATGTCAGCTAACTAGATACCTCCCCGAGAGACCCTCATGCCCAACTAGATAGCTGGTATGGAAAAAGAACCAGCTCACCTAATCCATTCGTTTGATGTGAGATGTATCCCCATCATCCAAACAAATCCTACAAGCAATATTTGTGCTCACTAGAGCATTGTGACTTGCAAGGCACCCTCATATTGGACCATCAATTTGGTGACTAGTAGGTATGCCTCTGTTCAACCTAAACAGTGGCGAATAAAAGGGAAGACAATCTTTTAAGCAAGAGCGATGGCATTTCCTGAAATAGCAAAAAATGATAACTTATTTCTATATTGGCATTTATCCCTCATCTTGCATCAGATGGTGTCCTTGATAAAGAGAAAAGAAGGATACCCTGAGGTTCTTTGGCGAGCCTTGTGAGTTCTGATGAATTATTTGCCATCAGAATTCCTCTAATATGCAATGTTTGGACTTCTGAAGCAAGTTTTACTTATTCAAAACAGTGCTAATTTCAGCTGGTTAGCTACAGACAAATTGATCCATGGCATACACTTTTTTCGACAATATAATTTCTCTTATTTATTCCCCGGAACAGTTATTTACTTTATGTCTATATATAATTGACATACGGTGTTGTGAAGTTCAGTTCACTGCTAACCTGGCACTCTAGCAGCAACAAATATATTCAAGATTTTCATTTTTGTTTCTTTAAAGAACCTGTAGGTTGCATTAAAGACATGTTCAGTTTTGGCATAACTTAACCTTCCAATTCGCAAAACTAGCAACACTTGCCAATTCTTTGGTGGTAGTAGTAAGATATATGTAAGCATCCATTTCAGAATATTATTCTTTGACTACTGCTTCTTGCACTTTGAATACTAGCTAAATGGTTTGATTAATACCGACATCAAGTCCAAACCAGAACAACGCAGGAATCCGAATAAACAAATGCAATCATGGCTTCTCAGGGGATAACCTCGGTTATTTAAAGCGCTGACAGCAACCACCTACCCGGAACACATCGATGAGGGGCAGGTCCAGGAGGTCTGGGTTGTTGACACGCACGCCGGCGGCGGACTCCCGCAGGCCGAGGCGCTCCAGCGACCACCGCAGCGGCAGCGACGAGAGCGTGGCGTTGGTGGCGAGGTAGGTCGGCCAGGTGAGCCTCACGCAGTTGAACCCCATCGCCGCGACGCGCGCCGCGATGTCCCCCACGCCGCGCCGGGACAGGCCCTCCGCGGCGACGGGCTCCAGGTGCGACGCCCAGTTCGCGCAGACCAGCTTCACGCGCCGCCCGTCCGCGCCCACCACCCACCGCGACGCCGTAGAGAGCGGTAGCGCCGGGAGCGAGACCGAGGCGGCGCGTGCGGACGCTAGGAGGACGAGGAGGAGGCCGAGGAGCAGTGGAGTTGGAGAGGAAGAAGCCATGGTAATTACTGGGACTGGGACTGGGAGAGCAGAGAGGCGGATCTGGAGTTTAAATGGGGCATGACATGTGGGGCCACGACGTGTGGGGACCATGCGTCAGCCGCACGGATTGGTTGCTGCTCGGATAAGCAAAGAAAGGCAAGCGGCGGTTGGCCTGGTGCGCTTAAGCGGTTAAGCTCGAGCGAGCTCGAATGGCCACCGCCGTCGTCGTCTCGGCGGCGGCTCTCCCCGCCGGCCGTCGCCGGTGCGTTATACACCCCGCCGAGCGGCGCTGCGCGACGTGCCTCAGCTCCACGCGGCTCTGCTCAAGTCCGGTGAGCTCACCACTTCGCCAGAGTCCTTCCACTCCTTCCCCGAGGCTACCACGCTCCCGTCGCCGGCCACCACCGCGGCCCACCTCGCCTACGCGATCCGCCTGCTCCGCCTAGGCCCCCACCCGCCCCTCTCCGCGCGGTCCTACAACATCCTTATCCGTGCCCTCTTCCGCGCGGGCCACCCGGAGGATGCCCTCCACCTGTTCGTCGAAATGCTCGATGCTGCCATTGCTGCCAACGTCTGCCCCGACCAGCACACGATTGCCAACACCGTAAAGTCCTGCGCCAGGATATATGCCTTGGCTACAGGGCGCAGCGTTCAGGCGTACGCTGTCAAGCTTGGGTTCATGGCCGATCAGTTTGTGCTGAACAGCTTGATACATATGTATGCGAGCTGTGGGGATATCATGGCGGCAAAGGTACTGTTCAACGCAGTCGAGGAAAAGGGTGTCGTTACATGGAATGCGATGATAGCGGGCTACTTCAAGAATGGAGACTGGAAGGAGGTAGTGGACATGTTTAAGGGTATGCTTGAGGTTCAGGCACCGTTTGATGAGGTCACATTGGTGAGTGTTGCCACAGCATGCGGAAAAATAGGTGATTCTAAGCTCGGCGAGCGGATTGGAGTTTATGCAGAGGAGAAGGGGATGGTGAGGAACAGAAACTTGGCAACTGCGCTGGTTGACATGAATGCCAAGTGTGGAGAACTTGATAAGGCGCGGAGATTGTTTGACAGGATGCACTCCCGGGATGTGGTTGCTTGGAGCGCGATGATCTCTGGCTACACTCAAGCCGACCGATGTCGAGAGGCACTTGCTATTTTTAATGAGATGCAGGCTACCGAGGTGAACCCGAATGATATAACCATGGTCAGTGTGCTCTCTGCCTGTGCTGTCCTGGGTGCACTTGAGACGGGCAAGTGGGTGCATTCATACATAAGGAGAAAGGCCTTGTCCCTTACAGTTGTTCTTGGCACTGCGCTGGTGGACTTCTATGCAAAGTGCGGATGCATTGAAGATGCAGTCAAGGCATTTGAGTCGATGCCTGTGAGGAATTCTTGGACGTGGACAGCCTTGATAAAGGGCATGGCAAGCAACGGAAGAGGTAGAGAAGCGCTGGAGCTCTTCTCATCCATGCGGAAGGCCAACATTGAGCCTACAGATGTCACATTCATTGGTGTTCTCCTAGCTTGCAGCCACAGTTGCTTAGTTGAGGAGGGTCGCCGGCATTTTGATGGTATGACCCAGGATTATGGCATCCATCCAAGGATTGAGCACTATGGCTGTATGGTTGATCTGTTGGGACGGGCAGGTTTGATTGATGAGGTGCACCAGTTTATCAGGAATATGCCAATTGTGCCAAATGCAGTTGTCTGGAGGGCACTGCTTTCTGCTTGCACAGTTCACAAAAATGTTGAAATCGGAGAAGAAGCGCTGAAGCAGATCACCCCACTAGATCCCAATCACAGTGGTAACTACATACTTCTATCGAACACCTACGCGTCAGTGGGACAATGGAAAGACGCAGCTATGATTCGGAAGGAAATGAATGAGAGAGGGATCAAGAAAATTCCTGGGTGCAGTCTCATTGAGCTGGATGGGACAATCTTTGAGTTCTTTGCTGAAGACAGCGACCACCCCCAGTCGAGGGAGATATATGAGAAAGTGGATGAGATGATTGAAAACATCAAGATGGCTGGGTACGTCCCAAATACCGCTGACGCAAGGCTAGATGTTGATGAATCTGAGAAGCAAGTGTCCGTTTCACATCACAGCGAGAAGCTAGCCATTGCGTTTGGCCTGATGAAGTCGCGCCCTGGCGCAACCATTCGGCTGTCGAAGAATTTGAGAGTGTGTGTGGACTGCCACTCCGCCACGAAGTTGATCTCGAAAGTGTACAACAGGGAGATTGTTGTCAGAGACAGGAACAGGTTTCATCATTTCAAAGATGGTTTGTGCTCCTGCAATGATTACTGGTGAGTATAAATTCTCTGCGCGTCAAGGTTTTTCTCTTACATAAGTTTATATGTACACCGGGGTCACCTGAGCCAGAGAGGCTGTACAGCACTTTGTAAGTAATCTGTAAGTACATAATGCCGTTCACTCTCAAACAGGAGCTCAAGTTATTAGGTATTAAGATCAAGAGCAAATTATCTGCAGAGTTTCAGGCTTGGTTAGCTCAGACATTCTAATAACCTGATGATTCAGTTCCCAAAAACCGGAGTTGGTTAATCTGTTTTCCCTTTTCTGGATAGGATCTTTGTAGTTTTCTTCTTTTTCTCCTTACCTCATGTAACATACCACTATTAATGAAAATTTACGTAACATACCACTATTAATGAAAATTTACCGTAGAACTATTGTCCTACGGTGTGCGCTTCAAAAAACTGTTAGAGAAGATTCCTAGCCTGCCAGAATAGAAGTTGGTTCTGCAGCTTCAAGAACGAGAACTGAGTGTGTACAGGCTGCACATTGCTGTGCATTGCATGAATACCAAAACGAGGAATAAACCTGTTGCATTTTACTTAACTTGTAAAGAAACTGTGGTGTGCTTACATAAAATTTCAAATGCGGAGCAGCACAGTTTCCTTTCATTGTTTTGGCCACAACGACGGCATTTGCTGGGTCGACTTTGATGGCTCAACCTACGGCTGCTTCTGGTGAGTTGGTGTTGTTGTTGTTGTCAACAAAGCTGACGCGTGGATGCGCACATGTCTAATTTGTTTAGCCTTATTATAATCTTTGTTGTAATATCGGCTGTTGATATAACCACTTATCTGTACATCGGGTGAGTGAGAAATCTCCATATCCGACAGAAGCAGTACCTTTCAAGTGTCATCCGGGCGGCAAGTACACCAAGTTGTAAGCAGCGAAATTGCGTAGGAGCATTCGGCGACGACGCTCATTGGAATCTTGCCCATCAAATCGCTTTGGGATTCTCACGCACTATAATAGCCCCAATTGTATTTATGTCCTTATAACTAGTATTTATCTTTCCCCTGTTCAACATAGCAGACGTAAAGTACACGTGTTTCTGTTCCCCACACATTAAGGTTTCTGTCTGCTACACTGTTCCAACTCCACTGGCATAAGTTCCATTCATGTCATTTAACATTGCTGGTGCACTTTCAATACGTGAACAGAAAAAGTGCTCTCTTTTTACCACTTACACTTCAAAATTTTGATTGTTACTACAAGTCCGGTCATGTGATATAATATAAATAATTTGACGGTTAAGAAGGCGCTAGGATTCTTTGTACGGGCAAAGACTTTCTTGTCCAACCTATCAATACATTGTGTCTAGGCCACTAGGCAGAAGCATGCATGGCTAGTAATAGCTTGAACACAAATGTAAAGGAAAACCTCCTGGGGTAAAGACCATAGATAAGAAAGTTAGCATTTGTTATATTTTTCTATTCCATTGAACACACAGGTAGCTAATTCGAGCGACAAACTAACAAGTTATGAGATAAATCTCGCTTCATTTAGAAACTTAAGCCACGTTCATCTTTCTCTTCTTGCACGCGATGCTATTATGAGTAAAATGATTTACGAGGAATTATAGCCAAAAAATGACTATTTTGTTTTTGTGCACATCATCTATTTTGTGCACATTATGTAACCTGCTATCATTTTTTTCGGCACTAATCAACGGGAGGAGGAACAATGGCCGGGCGAAGAGAATCAAAGGGGCGAGAGCAATGACAATGATGAGTACAGTTTATGTAATTAACACTATGAAGATAAAGCATCAGTGGCTCAATACTCTTTGTAGTCCAATAAATGTCCAACGGTGTGTTGTACTTACAGCAGGACTTTTGGTCCTAATTTATTGTCGCCAAACAGATGCGTACTATATCACTCTACGTTGGAGGAGTGTATTCAACAACAGCAATTCATTTCATCCAATTATATGCACGAATCTTTAGACAGCAGTGCAACGACGGAGATTTCAATGAGCGTAGTCGCCGAGTGCTCTTAGTTCGCGTCCGAGTAAGCAGCCGCTTTAGACAAACAACGTTACAGCGGCGGCCTCAATCCGTGATGGATAAGTCTGTGTACTAGGGTCCTTGTGGGGCTGCAGCACATGGTCCTTGTGGCAGTTAGGAGGATAAAGTCCTGGACCATCAAGGACTGGCTGTTAGGATAGAGTTCTGTTCTTGACCATCAAGGACTGTCAGTTAGCATCTTAGACTAGCATCTTAGACTAGCATCTTAGACTGGCATCTTAGCAGCATCTTAGCATATGCCTTGGCTGGCTAGCAGCCTATAAATATGTATCCCCAACCCCTCAGGTTGGCATGGCATTGTGTGAGAAATAAACCAACGAAAATTGTCCCAACTCTCCTAGTGTCATCCACATCTATCAATGCTCAGGCTGAAAGGTCTAACAAGTGGTATCAGAGCCTCGTTAACCTGCACCCTGAGCATTTCCTGTGAGCAGCCCAAGTCGGTAGCAGCAGCTGCTCCGTCTGCCTCTGGTTACCTTCCTCCCTCCGGACTGTCGAGCAGCAGCTCGTCTTCATCAGCCTCCTCTTCACGCAACAGCCCCCCTGCAGCGAGCCATGTCTGCAGGTCGCTCTCAGCACACGGCTACCTCGAGCATGCGGTGCCGGCAAGAGGCCGAGCGCGCCGTGGCAGAGGAGCGTGAGCGAGCGGCTGTAGCAGCGGCTGCTGCGGCGGCAAGAGTGTCGAGGCTGGCTGCAGCGGAGCTGGCAGCAGCCAGAGCGGAGGTAGAAGCAACCAGGGCGGAGGTAGAAGCAGCAGCAGCAGCAGAAGCAGCCCGTGAGGCTACGGCGGATGCCAAGGCACTCCGCGGCAGCCCTGGCAGCTCCAGCAGCTCCGCGCCTGCGGACGACGGCGCCGACGCAGATCGCGCCAAAGTGGCGCAGGAGCGGACGGCGCAGTGGGCAGCCGAGCACGCCCGCGCTCCAGGTGGAGGCGCGCACCGCGACGGCGGCTGCAACGACCAGGACCGCGGCCTCTACGAGGTCCGGACTGTGGTCAGGGATGTTGTTCCAGTGTTGGGTGGCCTACCCTCACTAAAACCAACTACGTCGAGTGGGCCGGGATCATGAAGGTCAGGCTCCAGGTGCGGCGCATGTGGGAGGCAGTCCAGGACAGCAACGTCGACCACCTAGAGGATCGACGGGCGCTGGACGCCCTCATCGCCGCAGTCCCGCCCGAGATGCAGTTCTCGCTTTCCAACAAGCGGACTGCCAAGGAGGCTTGGGACGCCATCGCCGCAGCACGCATCGGCAGCGACCGTGCTCGCAAGTCCACCCTGCAGGCACTTCGTAAGGAGTGGGAGAACCTGGGCTTCAAGCCAGGTGAGGACGTTGATGACTTTGCTCTCCGTCTCAACACTCTGTTGCAGAAGACGGTGAAGTTTGGCGATGCCACCTACACCGAGGAGAGAGCTGTCGAGAAGCTTTTTCGGTGCATTCCCGAGAAGTACAAGCAGATGGCTCGCTCGATCGAGTCGTTGCTGGACCTCTCCACGATGACGATCGAGGAGGCGATAGGTCGACTCAAGGTCGTCGACACCGACGAGCCACAGCCCCCCTCGGGGCCCGTCACCACCGGCGGGAAGCTGCTCCTAACTCGGGAGCAGTGGGATCCCAGCCTTGGTGACAAGAAGAAGGGGGAGCCTTCCTCCTCGACGGGCGGCCGCAAGCGTGGCAAGCAGCGTAAGGCGCGAAGAGGCCCCCCGGGCAGGGCACAAGGACGTGCCGAAGGTGACGCCCGCGGAGGCGCCAAGGACGGCGCCGCTGGCAAGCCCAGGCCGGCACAAGACAACAGTTGCCACAACTGTGGCCGGTTTGGCCATTGGGCCAATGAGTGTCGGCAACCACGACAAGGCCAGGCTCACGTCGCACAGGCGAAGGAGGAGGAGACGGCTCTGTTCATGGCGCATGCAAGCATTGAGCTACCCTCGGCGACTCCAGTCGCAAAGGCTTTCATCCACCTCGATGAGCCAAAAGCACACGCTCTTCTCGGCGATGGCTCCGGGAAGGACAAGGCTATGGGGTGGTGCCTCGACACCGGCGCCACCCACCACATGACCGGTCGAAGGGAATTCTTCGCCGAGCTCGACTCCGATGCGCGAGGCTCCGTCAAGTTCGGGGATGCCTCCGCTGTGGAGATAAAGGGCGTCGGCTCCGTCATCTTCACCACCAAGATGGGAGAGCACCGGCTGCTCACCGGTGTCTACTACATCCCCGCGCTAAGGAATTCCATCATCAGCTTGGGACAGCTGGATGAGAACGGCTCACGCGTGCTGATTGAGCATGGGGTCCTACGCATCTGGGATCGCCAGCGTCGCCTTCTCGCCAAGGTGCCCAGAGGTGAAAATCGACTCTACGTCCTTGATGTGCAGGTGGCACAACCGGTCTGTCTCGCTGTCCGTCGAGACGACGAGGCGTGGCAGTGGCATGAGCGCTTTGGGCACCTTCACTTTGAGGCCCTAAAGCGTCTAAGTGCCAAGGAGATGGTGCGAGGCCTGCCATGCCTCGACCATGTGGAGCAGTTCTGCGACATCTGCGTACTGACAAAGCAGAGACGACTCCCCTTTCCCCAACAGGCGAGTTTTCGGGCTAAGGAGAAGCTGGAGCTCGTGCACGGAGACCTGTGCGGCCCGGTGACGCCAGCCACACCAGGAGGTCGACGCTACTTCCTGCTGCTCGTCGACGATCTCTCCCGCTACATGTGGGTGATGATCCTCGGCAGTAAGGGAGAAGCGGCGGACGCCATCAGGCGCGCGCAGGTTGGTGTGGAGGCGGAGAGCGGCCGCAAATTGCGCGTGTTGCGCACTGACAACGGCGGCGAGTTCACGGCGGTTGAATTCGCGTCGTACTGCGCCGATGAGGGCATCCAGCGCCACTACTCCGCGCCGTACAGCCCGCAGCAAAACGGCGTCGTCGAGCGGCGCAACCAGACGGTTGTGGGGATGGCTCGGGCTCTCCTCAAGCAGAGAGGGATGCCGGCTGTCTTCTGGGGAGAGGCGGTGCTAACGGCCGTCTACATCCTCAACCGCTCTCCTACTAAGGCACTCGACGGCAGAACTCCGTACGAGGCCTGGCATGGGCGGAAGCCGGCGGTCTCTCATTTGCGGGTCTTTGGCTGCCTTGCGTTCGCCAAGGAGCTCGGCCACATCGGCAAGCTCGACGACAGGAGCACTCCGGGAGTCTTCATCGGCTACGCGGAGGGCTCAAAGGCCTACCGCATCCTCGACCCAAAGACACAACGTGTGTGCACAGCGCGAGACGTCGTGTTCAACGAAGGGCGAGGGTGGCAATGGGACAAGGCGGTGGACGACGGCTCGACGCCGACGTATGACGACTTCATTGTCGAGTACGCTCACTTCAAGGAAGCTGGGGGAGCAAGCAGCTCCTCTTCACCGGGCACGTCTACCCCGGCCCCCAAAACTACATCGACTCCGGCGCCTGCTACACCGACGACACCACAACCGGCGACGCCGCATACTCCAGCCCCGGCGGTCGCCACTCCGGGCTCGTCTTCATCAGCACCAGCTCACGCAGAGCACAACCCGATGAAGTTCGCTTCCCCGCTCACTCACGACGAGGAGCGGGTCGACGCATGGTATGGAGGCGAACCGCTGCGGTACCGTACGATGGATAATGTGCTCGGCGACCAGCCGGTGCCAGGACTGGTTCCACGTGACCTGGAGGCGCAGCTACAGCTCGTGTGTGAAGACGGCGAACCACGGTCCTTTGCAGAGGCCGAGAGAGACGCGGCATGGCGCGCCGCGATGAAGTTGGAGATGGATGCGGTCGAGCAAAACCGCACCTGGGAGCTTGCTGATCTCCCTCGAGGTCACCGCCCAATCACCCTTAAGTGGGTGTTCAAGCTGAAGAGGGATGGAGCCGGCGCCATCATCAAGCACAAGGCTCGTTTGGTGGCCCGAGGCTTCTTGCAGCAGGAAGGAGTCGACTTCGACGACACTTTCGCTCCCGTGGCACGGATGGAGTCCGTGCGACTTCTCCTTGCGCTGGCTGCCCAGGAGGGCTGGCGTGTCCACCACATGGACGTTAAGTCGGCATTCCTCAACGGCGACTTGAAGGAGGAAGTCTACGTGCATCAGCCACCGGGGTTTACGATTCCCGGCCAGGAGGGCAAGGTGCTCCGCCTGCGCAAGGCTCTCTATGGCCTGCGGCAGGCACCCAGGGCGTGGAACGCCAAGCTGGACTCCACGCTGAAGAAGATGGGTTTCGAGCAGAGCCCGCATGAGGCTGCCGTCTACCGACGGGGGAGTGGAGGAAATGCCCTGCTGGTGGGCGTCTACGTTGACGACCTGGTGATCACCGGCACCAAAGATGCAGAGGTGGCGGCGTTCAAGGAAGACATGAAGGCCACGTTCCAGATGAGTGACCTGGGGCTCCTCTCCTTCTATCTAGGGATTGAGGTGCACCAGGACCACTCCGGGATCGCGCTTCGACAGTCCGCCTACGCCAAGCGCATCGTTGAGCTAGCTGGGCTCACCGACTGCCATCCAGCTCTCACTCCGATGGAGGAGAGGCTGAAACTAAGCCGCGACAGCACGACGGAGGAAGTGGATGCTACACAGTACCGACGCCTTGTGGGGAGCCTTCGCTACCTCACTCACACACGGCCGGACTTGGCATTCTCCGTCGGCTATGTCAGTCGGTTCATGGAGCGACCAACGTCGGAACACCAGCAGGCAGTGAAGAGGATCGTCCGCTACATAGCAGGGACCCTCGACCACGGCCTCCACTACCCTAGGTGTCCTGGGGCGGCACACTTCGTCGGGTACAGCGACAGCGACCACGCCGGCGACATCGACACCAGCAAGAGCACGAGCGGGATCCTCCTCTTCCTCGGCAAGTGTCTCGTGAGCTGGCAATCAGTCAAGCAGCAGGTGGTGGCCCTGTCCAGCTGTGAGGCTGAGTACATAGCGGCCTCCACCGCCTGCACTCAGGCGCTCTGGCTTGCTCGACTGCTTGGTGATCTTCTCGTTCAAGACACCAAAACGGTGCAGCTCCTGGTGGACAGCAAGTCCGCCCTGGCCCTGGCAAAGAACCCCGTGTTCCACGAACGGAGCAAGCACATCCGACTGAGGTATCACTTCATCCGCAGCTGTGTGGAAGAAGGGAGCATCGAGGCGAGCTACATCAACACCAAGGATCAGCTCGCAGACCTGCTCACCAAGCCCCTTGGGAGGGTCAAGTTCCTCGAACTTTGCTCCAGGATTGGGATGATTCAACTCTCCCACAAGACGACGTACAAGATTTAGGGGGAGAATGATGGATAAATCTGTGTACTAGGGTCCTTGTGGGGCTGCAGCACATGATCCTTGTGGCAGTTAGGAGGATAAAGTCCTGGACCATCAAGGACTGGCTGTTAGGATAGAGTTCTGTTCTTGACCATCAAGGACTGTCAGTTAGCATCTTAGACTAGCATCTTAGACTGGCATCTTAGCAGCATCCTAGCATATGCCTTGGCTGGCTAGCAGCCTATAAATATGTATCCCCAACCCCTGAGGTTGGCATGGCATTGTGTGAGAAATAAACCAACGAAAATTGTCCCAACTCTCCTAGTGTCATCTACATCTATCAATGCTCATGCTGAAAAGTCTAACAATCCGCACCACCACGCCCCCGCGACAACAGTTTGCCATGGCGTCGCTCCAAGCTCCCGAGCTCTTGGCATGTCTCCTCGTCGTCGTCGCCACCCTCCTCCTCCTCCTCAAGCAACTGCTCGCGCCGAGCAAGAGACGCTCCGCCTCGGCCTCGGCCTCACCCTCCCTCCCGCGCCCGAGGGGCCTGCCCCTCATCGGCAACCTCCACCAGCTCGGCGCGCTCCCGCACGACTCCCTCGCCGCGCTCGCCGTCAAGCACGACGCGCCTCTCATGCTGCTCCGCCTCGGCTCCGTGCCGACGCTCGTCGTCTCCTCCGCCGACGCGGCACGCGCCGCGTTCCAGCACAACGACCGCGCCATGTCCGGCCGCCCGGCGCTCTACGCGGCCGCCAGGTTCTCCTACGGCCTGCAGAACATCTCCTTCGCGCCGTCGGAAGGCGCCTTCTGGCGCGCCGCGCGCCGCGCGTGCCTGTCCGAGCTCCTCGGCGCCCCGCGGGTGCGCGGGTTCCGCGAGGCCAGGGAGGGCGAGGCCGCCGCGCTCGTCGCCGCCGTGGCCGACGCGTCCGGCGCCGGCGGTGCCGTGGACCTGAGCGGGCTTCTCCTCGCCGCGAGCAACAAGATCGTGCGACGTGTCGCCTTCGGCGGCGACGACGGCGGCGAAGGTGGCGCGGAGGCGAGTGCTGTCCTCAAGGAGACGCAGAGGCTTCTTGGTGCTTTCTGGGTCGCCGACTACGTGCCGTGGCTCGGGTGGCTGGACGCGCCGCGTGGCCTGCGGGGGCGTCTGGAGCGGAACTTCCACCAGCTCGACGCGTTCTACGAGAGCGTGATCGACAGTCACCTCAAACGGCGAGCATCCTCCTCCGCCGACGAGGAGGAGGACTTGGTCGACGTGCTCCTCCGCCTGCACGCCGACCCGGCTCACCGGAGCACGTTCAGCAGTCGCGACCAGATCAAAGGCATCCTCACGGTACATACTCGTGCACTTGAATAAGAACAAATACACACGCACACAAGCATTTCGTTGAAAATTCTGGCTTTTACGTATCTTTGAAGGACATGTTCATTGCCGGGACCGACACGTCGGCGGCGACGGTGGAATGGACGATGACGGAGCTGGTCAACCACCCGGGCATCCTCGCCAAGGCGCAGGACGAGGTGCGCAGCGTGGTCGGCGACAGCGGCATGGTCCGGGAGCCCGACCTCCCGGGGCTCAGCTACCTGAAGCTGGTCATCAAGGAGTCCATGAGGCTGCACCCGCCGGTGCCGCTCCTGGTGCCCCGGGAGACCACCGAGCCATGCACGATCCACGGCTGCGAGATACCGGCCGGGACGCGGGTGCTCGTCAACGCGAAGGCCATCGGCGCGCACGCCGGCGCGTGGGGCGCCGACGCGGCGCAGTTCGTCCCCGAGCGGCATGAGCGCGGCGGGGACCTCGGCGACTCCAAGCCGTGGCACGACAGCTTCGCGCTGGTGCCGTTCGGGATCGGGCGGAGGAGCTGCCCCGGCGTGCACTTCGCGACGGCCGTGGTGGAGCTGCTGCTGGCCAACCTGCTCTTCTCCTTTGACTGGAGCGCGCCGCTCGGCAAGCTGGACGCTGAGGAGGAGAACGGGTTGACCGTGTACAGGAAGAACCCTCTCATGCTGTTCGCGAAACCACGGCGATGCGTGTAGTACGATGTTGTGATCTATGTGCAGCAAATAAGTGACTTTTGGTCAAATTTATTCATTATCTTGAAACAGTCAACATTATCAGTTTTGCTGTTTTGAAATACTAACAGATCCATCCGACCTAAACATTAAAGTACAAAAGAAACGATAACATTTTATTTTTTTTATCGGACATCTGCCAATGTCGACAGAGATATTTATAAGATGATTGAGCTGTATACGATTGCATTTGATAGTAACTTTGCGAGATTGAGAATGAGCGGCTGTGTTGTCTCTATGCAAGCGTCCAAACATATGTAGGAGCAACTCTAGCACGTCTTAGGGTCCTGATTGATGTAATGAAACCGATGATTTTAGCCGAAAAGGTCGTCCTAGCAGGGTTGCACACGTCGGAAGCGTCTATGACCGACGGTGTCGACCTTGATGTCGTCGGCCTGTTGATGATGAAGAGAAGTAGAAGTTGAAATTTGGAAAATAAATATGTAATCAATGACATGGGTCCAATATGTAATAAAACTATGAAGGTTGAGATATGGCGAATCGGATTTTGCACGTTGCATGTCCAGCCTCGAAAAGCATATGGAATGCGCTTCATATTAGGATCAATATATCGACAAGAGGGAGAGGGTGAATGAGAGAATCTATGGAATTCTTCGAAAACATAAAATACTCTAGGAAATAGAAGAATAAGGGAGTATGAAACAGTAATACAAAGGCAAATTAAAACAGGAAAATCAATACCGATAACTTAGCATGCGGCTCAAAACTCCCGTGGAAGGAGCATAAGAGTGCGGGCAAGTAAAATGGCTAATTGATAGAACAGATACTCAAGTCTAACAAACAAGCAAATGCACTTGAGAATTGCTAGACAGAGTACAAAGCTAAGCATCGAGATATGCAGCGGAATAGATAGACGCATGCAAAGTCTTGACAACAATCACGAAGAAAGATATAAGGGGGAAAGCTTTGAAGCACAGAGAAACTACTAAAAGTAAAGCAGTGCGAAGAAATAGAACTCATTTCCTCAGAGAAGACAACACAATGTGTTCACCCAGTTCAAGTTGGTGCCACAACTCTATGTCTGGTTGGAAAGGCAGAGCCACAACTCTAAGTACACGAAAGTTCTCGCCTTCTTCTCCCTGAGCTAAGTTCTTCGGAACCCTCCCAATAACTCGTGGTGGATCTTGATGTGATCTCCGGACTTTCACATACATGTTCTTCGACAGTCTGGATGCTCTTGAACTTGACTCATAGCCGTCTAGAACTCTAGATGCTGCTCATTCCTCAAGAGTGAAATGTCTTAGTTCAGCTTTGATTCTCTAGTGATGCTCAATCACTTAATAGTTTTAGGTTATGGGGGATTTTTCGTCACTTAGGATTCTCTCTATCTCTTTGGAGGGATGGGTTGCTAAGACAAGACTTGTCAGTTTTCACACATGGTAGCCAACTGCAAATGGTTGGAGGCAGGTAGCTATTTATAGTCCGCGAGTGAACCCAAATTCTTCAATTGTTCCACATAATTTTTAGGGGTCATATGCTTTGGTTCAACCAAATCCTCATGGACTTTCGCCTGTGTATACACACAAACACATTATTTCCTTAATTGTTTTATCATTAATCATCCAAAACCTCAAAGGGGTACTAGATGCACTTTCACATATGCAATATAACAACTATGAACATGGCAACTATGATGGAGTTAGGCCACCTCGTAGGGTTCGGTGTTACTTACAACCATCGAGGGCTTGCTTTCACCTTCCCTCTGACCCGATGATCGCCCACATCTTTCGTGCTTCCACGACGTGGTCATTGTGTGATGGCAACTCATGTCATTTTTGGATTGATCATTAGATCGACGGGAAGTCCGTCTCGGAGCTTGCACCCCCGGGTTTTTCCATCATCCCCAAGAAAAGATGGAAAAAGACCGCACAATGTGTGAGGGCTTGTCGGAATGTGCTTGGTTCCACACATCCACGGTGCAATTGGGTCTGGCGCACTTGTGCAATACGTGGAGCTTTGGCATCGTCGTCACCCCCTTTCCCCCTTAGGGGGGAGGGTGACAGGCTGCGTTGGTGGTGGACTGATTCCGTCCAGTTAGTGCTATCTACCCCTTTTTTAGGGCTCGACTCGCGATCAAATTTGGTAGCTTTCTTGGAAGATTTGGGCGTCGCTGCACATCAAGGTCTTCACATGGCCTGCCCTTTAGGATTAGTGTTGTATGGCGGATCGCCTTGCCCGTCGTGGGCTTCCTCATGATGACTTCTGCATCCTCTACAATTAGGTTCAGAAAGATATGCAACACCTTCTTGTTGGATGCCCCTTATCTTGCCAGGTCTGGCATGAGGTGCTCTTCTGGTGTCCGTCCACAACCACTCTACCGAGATCGAAAACCGTCTTATCTGACTGGTGGGCCACCACATGTGCGCTCGCCCCTTGAGGGCACCGTGGGGGTACCTCCACTCTCATTCTACTCACTATAGTGGATTTTAAAGCACCATAATGGGTGCATCTTTGATGGGTAGCGATCCTCCGGCACTCGCCGTGTGCAAGGCATTCAGGAAGACACATGCTAGTAGAGTAAGGCCGACGCCAAAGGGATCTCCAGAATGCTCCAGGAGAGTTGTTAGTTGTTTTTTTGGGCTGAGCACTCCATGTCTCTCCTGCTAAGGTTATCATAATCACATTGTCTAGTGTACGTGTATCGTGATGGCTACCCTTCCCCATGTCTCTTATTACTTCTACTATCAATCAAATGATACGCAAGCTTTGCGTACTCACATTGTTTTGAATATGTATTGTGTTGAATTGTTTTTCGAAAAGTTGCTACATATTCCTATATTATCTTTTTGAAGTGGCGCGTCGGCCAAGAGAGCGTCGCCCGCTACATGCCCGGCTGAACACGCCTTGTCGCGGCATTCAACCGGCTTTAGACTGCCCCACCTACCTCTATTGAACCCGCGCGTGTGCCGAGAAACCTACTCTGGTCACACTTCCATCCGCTAGCCGGCCGGCATTAAACACAACGCCAGTTGGCTCCTCTTGTCCACCCGCTATTTAAACGAGGCCAGACGCCAGGCAAGAACCGCATCACATCTCCGCTCCCCGTCTCTTCCTTGCACCATATTCTGCACACTCTCCATGGCATCCAGCGAGGAGGAAGAGAGGTTCTCCAATATAAAAGGCGGTTGGGTGGCCCGCCAAGCCTGCCGGATCCGAGCTTGGTAACTCGCTGCTCCACCTCCCTTGCCACCCAGATTGTTCGTACCATGGGTGAGGTTGCAGGCAGGCAGGCGGAGGAGCAAGCCGCCGCTCCAAGCTAGCCCCTGGTGTAGCAACTCGCCGCTCCAAGCTAACTCATAGAGGAGTGGTCTGTTGCCCCCCGTCGGCAAGCGGGGGAGCATGGTGGCACGGGCGTCGTGGTTGCCGTGGATGCCGTCGTGTCGTCACGCTCTTCCCGCGCTTTTCGCCACAAACGTTGGCGGAACCGCGCCCTGACGATGGAGGCGGCCAGCACGTCTGTTACTGCCGCCGACGCCGAGGAAAAGTAGACTGACGGTGTCCTGGACTAGGGGGTACTCAACACGTCATCTCCCGATCTGATAGATTGGGCCGAGGACCCCCGTGGCCGTATACTCATGGGCTAGTTCGGACAACTGCCGCATACAAGGAAGATTCCACAAGACTTGACGATCAAGACAAGGACTTCTCCCCACCGGCGCATTCGGCTAGGACTCTTGTTAACCTAGGCCTCTGGTGCATTATATAAACCGAGGCCAGGCTAGTCGATACAACTCCATATACAACATACAATCATACCATAGTCTAGCTTCTAGGGTTTAGCCTCTCTGATGTCGTGGTCGATCTACTCTTGTACTACCCATATCATCAATATTAATCAAGTAGGACGTAGGGTTTTACCTCCATCAAGAGGGCCCGAACCTGGGTAAAACATCGTGTCCCTTGCCTCCTGTTACCATTCGGCCTAGACGCACAGTTCGGGACCCCCTACCCGAGATCCGCTGGTTTTGACACCGACATTGGTGCTTTCATTGAGAGTTCCGCTGTGTGATCGACAAAAGGATCGATGGCTCGCCTGCAGATCAACTGCGACTTCGGCATCTTCGCCACCAGCTCGACTGGTCACCTTGGTTCGACCAAGAATTACGCCCCGTGTTCGGATCACCATGTTCGGACGAGGGCCTTCATCAAACATCAACTCCGATCTCTATCAAGATCACGGAGGAATCATCTATGGAGCTCGGGGGCTCAACGTCAACATTGCCCTCAAGCGACCGTGCTGTTTTCTGGACAGCAAACTCGTATCTGCCGCCACCACCTCCTAGAGTATCGATTTGACAATCGCTTTGGTGGAATTGTGCGGAATTGTGTCTACAACAACCTTGGAAAATTTCTCGAGTTTCGATGGAGGAATCTTTGGCAATCCACGGTATACCGGAGCCTTGTCAAATCTGGACGGGAATTTGGATGAGTTTAGGGCGTGGTGTCCAGCTTCTAGCTCGGACGTCCTTTGGAAGATCCAACCGTTGATCGGCTGCGGAATTCCTGTATCTACCACCTCTCAAAATTTCAGCTCGATCCGACCGTCCAAACTCCGGGAACCTTCCGATTAGTGCATCACTTTTCGGATCTGTTTTCTGCGTGAAAACGAGTCCGACCCGAGTTCATCTTTTTTATGAACAGGATTTCGGACATCCCTTTTGAAAGAAGTTTTGTATGAGGTATTGTGTTTTGTTGCCGAAAACATCCCACTAAATTTAAGATCTTTTGAACATGATCTTCAACATCATGCTGGTGTCAAACCAGTCCGGCAATATTACTCCATGGCTGCTGACCTGCGCTAGACACGGCGTCACTTTGTTGAGCCGAGCTCAACCTCTTCGGATCATCATCTCGGCAAGCCGAACAAGAGTTCGGCATCGCGAAGGATAAATCATCACCAACATCGGCGCCCCGCGGATTACACGGAGCGGGCATACCGGCAT